TAGTGTTATTGACTCCACCTCCCCCCCGGGCAGCCTGTTCCAGTGCTTGCCCCCTCTCTCCATACCTGGTCATGAGAGAGCAGCATAGTCTGGTTGAAGACCGTCCACTTCACTGTCTGGTAGCAGGGAGGGGTTGTCAGAGAGCCGTTGTAGTGGAAGTAGAGTTTCAGGTTGGCAGGCAGCAGACCTGCAATGTTGAATCCAGGCACCAAAACTTCTTCACCTGGGAGAAGAAACATGACGGGAGTGAGACCAGGGCAACCCCTTGGGGGTCAACAGGCAGGACCAGCATGGAGATCACAGGCAGCCTGGCACTGCACGTACCAGGGTCCGCACTGCTGCCACTAGTGCGCCGGAGAAAGAGCAGTGGGTTTGCCCTGCAGGCAGGGAAAAGGACGCGCAGGCAGAGGGCACCTTGGAGAGCCTTGTACAAGCCGTGCAGTGCTCCCCTTCTCACACACGTGTGGCCAGTGCCTGCTGCAGCCTGTCTCTGCCATGTGGTGGGTTTCTCTGCTGGGCTGCGGCCCCTGAGACAACTACTGCATAGGACAGGGTCTTACCTTCTCTTTGAATTTTGTACAGATGCTCAAGTATTTCCTGATAGTATGGGTTCTCCCTTGGCCCAACCTGCAACACAGACACCCCACAATAAAAGCAAAGGCAGGGGCCAGATGGAAACCTGATGGTGATAGCAGTGCCCTTCCTCCTACCAGGGCTGCTCTGGACTGCCCTCTCTTTCCCCTTCTCCCCAGGAGCATTTGCACCTTTGCCAGTCCCTCAAAATGTGCCTGACTCTGCCCACCCCACTCCCACCCTTCCCCTGCTCCTACATCTTCTTGCCCAGGGCTGATCTATAGGACTTACCTCCAGGAAGGCCCCCAGTACGGCCAGGCCATCTGGGTGGACCATTGCCTCCTTAAAGCTGTCATACTTGGTGTTGTAGTGGACCACGTGGATCTGGAAGGGAAACAGGCAACCTCGTTGCAGGATGGACACCCCCAGGAGGTGCTCACCCCACAGGGCTCCAGCCTCCATGCATCCATGACGAGCACTCGTCCTAGCAGAGAAACGTGCTGGTGGGACCGAGAAAATGTGCTGCTGCAAAGCAGCGAGTGTGAAGGTCTGCTGGCAGGAACCTGCCCAGCCAGGGACAGCAAACCAGCAGTCTGGTTTGCCCTAGATACTGAGGGGTCGTACTGCAGAGCCGGGCTCAGTTTGAGGACAGCAGCTAGAGAAGGAGGGATAAAACCAGATGGGAGCTGGCAGAGCAGGAGGACGGTGTATACAGAGTAAACAGTCCCTGCAGCTCCCGAAGCAGGCTGCTCAGAGCCACCCGAGGAGCTGGCTCCCCCAGCCCAGGGCCCACCGCAGCTCCTGCTCCATCAGCCCAGCACCAGGCTGCACGGCTCACACGTGGCCAGCCACAGCCCACTGCAGGCAGAGTGTCCCGGAGGTGGTCTTCTCTCAGCCTCTGCACCATGAGTCTGGCTCAGCACCAAAGCGTGGCCTCCGGCACCGCGCTCTGCTGCTGCAGCGCTGCCCGGGGAGCAGGGTGCTGGCCAGCGCTTACAGCATTCACCCCGTGACAACCAGGGCCACGGGCTAGGAGCAAGACAGCACCTCCGCACCTCCCCTGCCCAGCACCGGGAGAGGATGCATCCAGCACCACGAGGGCTCCTTACCTCTGCAGCAAAGCGGCGCCCATCAACAGTGTGCTCCGAGCCCGGTCCTGACGCAGAGCCCCAGTGCAGGTGCAGCTGCACAGCTCGGTACTGCTGGGCATAGCCGCCAGTGATGGCCAGTGACTCGGGCAGCTCAAGGAGAACTGCAGAAGCAGAAGGAAGAGGTTGAGTCAGTAAAACGCAAAGCCTAGTCCATCCCACAGCTACGCAGAGGAGATGTCTCCAGGGGAAGAGTCGCCCTGAGCATGTGGAAATGGGTCACAAAACAAACTTGCTTCCCATCTTTCACAAGGCTATGGGCCTGTCAATCCCCAAAGCTGTGCCAATGCAACAGGGTTCAACTTTTGACTGCAGGTTGTAGGACACCCTGTAAATACATCAGCTTCAAAAATAGCTGCTGTGAAAATGCTAGAAGGTGAAGAGCCCCTCTGCAGAGACCCCCAGGGGCCAGCTCCAAGCCAAATGTTATCCAACAATTTATTCATCAAGTGAGAACAATATGAAGAGACCGTGGACAAAATTCATGGAGAAAGATATTGGCAGAGTGGTGAATCTACGAGAGCAGGGCACTCGGACAGAGAGAGCTGCAGTGCTTGGTGAGCTGAGATCTTTAAAATAAAGCAACCTGTGGGTGTCTGACAACACTGGAGCTGGTGGCACGGAAGCATTAAATCTTTTGAAAGCAATCAGAGAGAAAATTTTGCCTCTTTGGGTATGGTAAATACATACTTGGTTTTTCCTTTTACTTGAATGTGGTTTAACCAGCTATCTGAAACTATCTATCTCATGCAGCAGTATGGCAAACCGGTATCAGCACTAGTGTGGCCAGCAGGAGTAGGGAGGTGATCGTGCCTCTGTACTCGGCACTGGTGAGGCCGCACCTTGAATCCTGTGTTCAGTTTTGGGCCCCTCACTACAAGAAGGATGTTGAGGTGCTGGAGTGTGTCCAGAGAAGGACAGTGAAGCTCTTGAGGGGCCTGGAGCACAAGTCTTATGAGGAGCGGCTGAGGGAACTGGGGTTGTTCAGTCTGGAGAAGAGGAGGCTGAGGGGAGACCTTATCACTCTCTGCAACTACCTGAAAGAGGGTTGTGGTGAGGTGGGTGTTGGTCTCTTCTCCCAAGTAAGTAGTGATAGGATGAGAGGACATAGCCTCAGGTTGCAGCAGGGGAGGTTTAGACTGGATATTAGGAAAAATTTCTTTACTGAGGGAGTGGTCAAGCGTTGGAACAGGCTGCCCAGGGAGGTGGTGGAGTCACCATTACTGGCGGGGGTCAAAAAACATGTAGATGTGGCGCTTCAGGACATGGTTGAGTAGGCATGGTGGTGTTGGGCTGATAGTTGGACTTGATGATCTTAGATGTCTTTTCCAACTTTAATGATTCTATGAAATCTAAAAGCCGAGTTACTTGGACATGCAGCAAAAATATCAGGAGCATCCCTGAACCCTGAGAAAGGCTGTCCTATCCTTCTAAGCACCTTTCCTTTATTCTTAATATCAATTGTTTTCCTTCCTCCTCCTTTATAGGTGAAGTGTCCCTTAGTCACATCACCAAGCTAGGGCACAGATTCCGGATTAACCACGTAACAGGGCTGTGATGAGTCATTTGTCCTCTCCCGTGTTCCCTGCCACTGGGTTCAGAGATACAAAACCAAAATACGGGAAGTGGGAGACTGCTCCCTCCCTGGGAATTTATCCACTTTTAAATTTCTTTTGTATATCTAAATCATTGCATTCCTTCTACTAGCTACCAAAGTAATTTTCAGGCCCTTGAAAAAGCTTATACAGCGTATAGGCTTTGTATTACAAAAAGGAGTAACTACAAATATCCTACTGGACTTGCAACTTTTTTTTTTACGTACGGCTTTTCATAAATCAGATCTATAGTTGTCAGAATAAAAAAAGGCATCTTATAAGTGTGTCAGAAACTACTTCACCCCCCCAACCCTAATGAAAATGCTCTGACTGCTCTTTTAAACACCAAGCAGCACCAGATGCCAGGGTGTCTAAAATAGCAACCACTGAGCTCAACTAGTTTAGCTCTGCAGGCATGCTAGGGCAGCAGGCCATAATATAAAGCTCTGTGCACGCACTGTCCTGCTGATCTGACCATGCACAGCAAGTCCAACCTGTTGAGTTTGCTGTATACACAGGTCAGCTCCATCTCACTAGGTACCAGGGCAAGGAAGTGCCTTATCACACCGTCAGCGAGTTCTTAAGTCTGTTTCTCCACCACTTCAGGGACTGGTAGACACTCGCGTGCACAAAACACTCAGCTTGCTCCCAGAAAAATCTGGTAGCAACCAGGACCCACCATCCCCAGCTGTGGGATAGTGAGCAGGAAAGAGAGATGTGTTTTTCCTCCGCATCTGGCATGGTGAGACTGGTACTAAAATAATGTGAATTAGTTGTGTCCAGACTTTCCAAAATATATTCTAAAATTGGAGGACGGAAAAAAAAAAAGACCTATAAAAATGTCTTAAAATCTTGAGTTAGCATCCTGAAGCACAGACTTAAAGCAGCTGGCCAATGCTGTGTCCTACAAGACGGAGGGGTAGGTACTGTAAAGGCCGAGTTGTCCTTTGAAAATGAAATGCAGGGAAGGAACCAGTGGCAGCAGACCTGCATCAGAAATACCATGGACGCATTTTTAAAGGAAATGTGGGGTTTTAACAAATTCCTAGAGCCAGCTCCCAAAGGCAGTGAGTGGCAAGTTCTCCATCTCCTGGTTTCTCCCCTCCAGCCAAGAGAGCACATGGACCTGTAAAGGCTCAACTAAAGGCCCAACGCTTCTCTTTTGGCCTTGAATGCAACATGACTGCAGCCTGCAAGAGAACTCCCTTCCCAGAGCTCAGGGGAAGGGCATCAGAGAAGCCCAGTCCTGCCGGGAGAGGCTGAGCAGGCTCCGCTTGTGCTCCAGCCTCTGCACCCACCTGTGTGCCCGTTGTTCCTCAGCGTGAGCTTCTCGTTGGCCGGCAGGCTGTAGCCAGAGAGCTGGATCGGCCGCAGCTGGGGGCTGAAGATGGTCTTGGCCGTGTCAATGTTGATGGGTGACTGCACGGTGCCCGCGCAGTCCGGGTAGTCCATGCCCCAGTGCTTCCAGTCTGGTGCAAGGAGGAAGGGAGGGAGGAGCAGTGAGACCGCTTGGGCAAGAAGCTCACCAGAAAGGAGGTTTGGTGCGTGGTGGGGAAGGGGACAGGCACCGGCCAGGGAATAAGCCATGCATGTAAGTTTAGTTTCTGTCAAGTTAGCTTGGGTGCAGCTCTGTGCCACCATGTGACTGCATGCAGCTGCATCACGAAAGGTCTTGGAGCATGGTGAGCTGCCAGGAAAGTCTATTTTTGGGGTGTTTGGGAAGAGTGCGAGAAGATCATTTACAAGTGGACTTGGCAAGCCTGAGGAGCTGCTGCTCTGCAGCTCATCACA